CCTTTGCACAAAGCGTGCTCCATGCGCAATTTGGCAGTTATTCAACTTTTGGTTGAGGCTGGAGCCGACAAGGATGCGAGAGATGCACTGGGTGATACACCTTTGCACATAGCGTGCTTATTTAATATGGACTGCTTGGAAATTGTCCAAGCGTTAGTTGAGGCTGGAGCCAACAAGGATGCCCAATGTCCAGATGGCAATGCACCTTTGCACTTGGCCTGCGGTGAGGGCCTCATGGAAGTGACATGCTTCTTGCTGAAGGCTGGAGCCAACAAGGAGGCAAGATGTTCAGATGGCACAACTCCTTTGCATTGGGCGACTTGCAAGGGCCACTTGGAAGTAGTGCATTTGCTACTTGAGACTGGAGCTGATAAGGATGCAACAGCTGCAAACGGTTGTGCATCTTTGCACTTTGCGTGTGACAAGGGCTACTTGGATGTAGTGCAGGCGCTGCTTCAGGCTGGAGCCAACAAGGGTGCAACAAATGTAGCTGGTGAGACATCTTTGTACATTGCGTGTGACAATGGCCATGTGGAACTCGTGCATTTGTTGCTTGAGGCTGGAGCCAACAAAGATGCAATCGATGTAAATGGTGATGCAGCTTTGCACATAGCATGTGACAATGGCCATTTGGAAGTCGTGCAATCGTTGCTTGAGGCTGGAGCCAACATTGAAGCAACACGCACAGATGGGTCAGCACCTTTGCATTTGGCAGCTTTCAATAACGATGTGAAAGCGACGCAAGTGTTGCTTGAGGCTGGAGCTGACAAGAATGCCGCAGATGCGGATGGCGCAGCCCCTATGCATTTGGCAGCTCTCAGTGGCCACTTGGAAGTCGTGCAATTATTGGTTCAGGCTGGAGCCGACAAGGATGCCACAGATGCAGATGGTTGTACAGCCCTGCACTCAGCGTGTGACATGGGGCACCTAGAAGTGGCGTGTTTGTTGGCGGTCGCGGGAGCCAACCAGGAAGCAACATCTTCGGATGGCTTAACCCCTTTGCACTTGGCAGCCCTCCGTGGCCACTGGCACGTCGTGCAAGCGTTGCTCGCTGGCGCAAGATCCCCAACCAACCCAGCTGACGCGAGCCGCGGCGGATCTCTGTCGAAGCGCCGCAGGTTGGAGTGAAGAAACATCGTGGCAGTCGTTGAACCTTTCGGGGAAGGGCTGGTCAACGCCTTTGGTTTGCGTGGGACGCCCTGGGACCCGGTTTCGGTCGTGACTGCCTTCTGTGATCAGAGACTGACCGGAAAACAGGGAAGGTGCACCAGACAAGGGGAAGGCAACATGAGCCAGGCACCCCAAACCTCAAGCAACTGGTGGGCGAGCTTATGACTCATATTGTGACTACCAGACCTTCCAAGTCCGGTGGTTTTTGAACACCCCTTAACCACTAAGAGGCTTTTCATAGACACCTCTTGGAAGGTCCTGGTATACTTACGCTTACTTGGCCAATCCAAGATGCACTCAGTCTATACGTTGGTCGTCTCTTCACTCCCAGTGCCCGCTCCCGACCGAGCGAAAGCAACCGGGTTGAACAGGATGCCGAATTCGTCGAAATGGGTCACCTACAAGTTCCCCCAACCTGGTGAAAGACCAAAAGTTGTTCCAAAAGGTGGTGAACTCCAAGAAGAACTCTGTTGAATCACTGTTACACTTTCAAAGAAACCACAAAGGGTCGAACCGGGTGTGCGAGGGCCGTGGTGACTCCCAAAACACACCACCTCTGCGAGCCGCCCGTGGTCTCCGTGGGTCTGCCGCGCCGCAGGGATGCTGCGCCTGCTGCGCACTGACTGGCCAACTGGGATCCTCCCAACGGGTGGAACGGGGTGGCCCAAGACTTCAGGGGGTGGATTGACGTCCGTGGACCGTTCTATCCTTGTGATACCTCGGTTTCTCTGGAAGTCACGGTCCCTGGTGGTATCTTTTTGGCCGACCCTGGGCATCGGCCACCCTGTTCTTCCAACGGTGAACCTTGTACAGAACCGCCAGCGGCAAATCCCTGTCACAGGAAGATCGTCGTGTGTTTGCTTCGATTGGAAGAGGGTGGGGTAGAAAGTGTTTTATCCATATGTACAATCACCCTGAGCATAGAAACTATCCAAAGAGGCCGATTTGAAGCGCGTCTTTTTGTTTTTTTCTTTCGGAGCTTACGACCATCGGCTGACCACAGAGTTCTTTTGTGCACCCCGAACGGCGTGCACGAACTTCCTGTGCAGGATGCAGTTTTTTCGGGGACGCAGACCCAGGATCCTCCACCAGGATCCTCCGGTCCAGGAATGGGCCACTCCGTTCGTTCGATCCGGTCCCGGTCCAGTCCGAGCGATCCGAAACGAGCGGCGGGAACCGGGAGGCTTCGGTGGTTGGGGAAGAAGACCGGAGGAAGGTGCCGCGGAGGAACGTGGTTGGACTCTTTTCTTTCTGGGCCATGAGCACCACGTTTCTGACGTTTCTCAGATGGATCTGTATATACCAGGACCTTCCAAGTCTCCGGTGGCTTTTGGACACCCCTTAACCACTAAGAGGCTATCTATAGTCTTTTATAGACACATCTGGGAAGGAAGGTCGGCAAGTCTTCCGCATCCGACGGAAGTGACGGAAGGAGCCGTCATGACTGGAGCTCACCATGGCATGATCAACACGATCACATCAGGAAGTTTCATGATGTTTTCAGTTTCTCTTCCCTTTTCCTTGGGCATCTTTGCCTCACGGAGCCCAGAAAGTGTCCAGATCTTCCGGGTTGCTCGCTCAAATCCCGAGGCCTGGGGGGTTTCCTCCGGTGTCTTCCGCGGTGCGGCGCAGGGAGCCGCGGCTGTTCTTGGTGGGTCTGCCGCTGCACCGCTTGTCGCCCAACCATCAGTTGCTGCTCTTGGCCGCGCTGGTCGGGACGCCCGGGGCCGGTTCGGGTTGGCCGAGGGAAGGCCCAGGAGAAGTGGTTGAGGTGTTCAACCTTCCCTTTGCAATATGGATGCAAAGAGTCAACTGGAGTCTGGTTCACCTGTTGTACAGTGTCTCAATGGAGTCTGACCCCCAAACATCCTTTTGTGATGCACCAGCCACAAGCCACTTCAGTTTATGGGAGAAACCACCAACACAGCCCGCTGCTTCCGCATCCCTCGGCCGCATCCCTGAGGTGCTCACCAGCAGCATCCTGGCTGCCGCGCTGCAGGAGCGTGTGCTCTACGTGCCCGGCTTCCGCTACACAGGCGACCTCGTCCCCGACCGGGACTTGGACCCGACCCGACGATTGTGTTAGTAAAGGGTGCGGCCTCAGGCTATACAGGCCACCTGGCTGTTTCTGGCAATCACTGAAACACCTGGATCACGCTCAGAAGCCCCCCCTCCCCGCGGCCCTGTTCGTGACAATCACTGGGTTTGAGAATTAGGAGGATTATGAAGGAGGTAATCCAAACACTCCTAGCCCTGAACGATACACTAGTCATGGGTTTGAGATGGACCAGTCCCTTTGCTAAAGTTGATAGCCCCGTGCTTCCGTTTTCCTCTTTCAAAGAAGACACGGCAGCGGTGCCCAACATCACCAGAGCGCCGGCATCAGATTGGTGGTTTTGGCGCACCACATGACCAAAGATCAAAGGGTAGGAAGGAAGCTGTCCAGATCTTTGCTTAATCTACTGATCCTCCTTTTTTCCTGCTGATCTCTCCATCAATTTCCACACTCTGACCTCGCGACGCGTATGCCAGGATGGCTGGCCTTGCTGACCTCGCTGACCTATATGTGTTTGGCCATGGTCGAACGGTGCTTCGAAGCAGACGCGCCACTCGGTGGAAGCTGAAGCGGACGATAGGATTCTGAACCTTTTCCGCCGGCGCCGCCGCCGCGACCGTTGTAAGTCACGGGTCAAGTCGATGTCGAAAAGAATGATATGAATGTATGGAATGTCATGACCGGATCTAGGATGTATACCAAGCTAGTGTTTGCTCTTGACCCAAGGGTTTTGCTTTACATCGGGTCGAGGCTCGCACGAAAAACAGCTGAAGCAAGAGTTTCCTGGTCCGATCCTCTTAGTACTCCGGGACACCCTTCAAACGGCGGGAAGGGCCGTCGACCACAGACGACTTCCGAATCGTGTCAACTCACAGGGTCTCCGCGCGTCACACGTCGGAAGTCGAAGAGTCGAAGAGTCGAAGATGGAGAGACGACGAACAAACCGACCTGGCACAAGGCTGAGACAGAAGGATGGACAGATTGATGGAACATATGTTTAATGTCTGCTCTAGGACGACTCACCCCTGGGTTCCTCCTCCCCTCGAAAAAACCACTCCCCTTAGTCCTTTTTTCCGTGAAACCGATGGGGGAAAAAGGCAACAACATCATGGGGGCCATTGCCTTTAGGTTGGAGGCCATTGCTGGTAGGTTGGAGGCCATTTGGCCATTGCTGTTAGGTTGTCGGACCTATTTGCTTCGTCTCCCTCCAGTGTGGAGGTACCGGCGCGGCGGACGCGGGGAGTACATGAAGCTCTCCCTGTTGACGATGGGAGGCATGTACTTCACCAACTTCAGCCACTTGGTGGAGGTGGTGGTTGTGGTTGGCGTTGGCTTCGGCTAGTGGTGTTTGTGGCTCGGATTCCACGGTGGAATTTGGGTTTTCTTCGGCTTTTGAGCGCTTGGATCAGAAGGGGTGTGGAGCTGAAAGCACACCGGCGCAGTGCTGACACCTTGACACGCACAGCGATATCGGCGGTGGACACCTTGATCTCACCTTCTGCTGGGTTTAAAGGGCTGGAGCCAGAATGGACACGGTGATCTCGATGCTTGGAGACAGGTGTGCCCCATTTAAGGGAGAGCATTCGTTTCTGACCTTCGTATCCCACACATAACGGTTTGGAGGCTTACTGTATGGCGTACAGGAGGGTTAACAATTTCACACATCACGGAACGCTGCTGCCTTTTGGTCGCAGTTTGTTTGGTTGTAAATTCATGTCAATTCTAGCCGCTGGGTTTTGTGCGGCACCAGTGGGTGTTAACGGATGACTGCCAACGGATCGAGCGACGAGCGACGAGCACCAGAGGCCTACATTATTTGAGCTACTCGCTGCGTGTGGTCTTCAAGTCCAGCAAGCTCATACCGGTGATGCTGCTGAGCGTCTTGGTTGGAGTAAGGACGCCGATCCGATCCGTTTTCAAACAGTATACGTAACCTGAACAAAGGCCGACCTGGTTGGAAGAAACACCGAACTTGGAGCAGACCTTTTGGTCCATCAAGTCAGGGAGGAGGAAGAGTGCAGGCCAGGGCGCATGTGGACTCACCTCTTTGCTTGTGGATTTCAACTCCTCCTTGTTGCAGTGCTGGACAGTGGTTGGATTCAAGTACCAATATGAAGCTATCCTTTTAGAAGATAAGCTGTGGGCAAATCGGACCAACATACTCGTTTGAAAGAAGACCCTCCACATAATGAAAGGTGGACAAAAACTCATTGGCTGGGAACGTCAATACTCTCAGTTAGAACAGACTCCCTGAAATCATCCTGGTGACGTTTGGTTGGGATGTTTCATGGCCCCGAACATCGTCGGGTGAATAAGTAATCCTCCGACACCGACACCTTGCCATCAGCAGCGGAAAACGTAGACCCAGTCTATGGATGTGGAGGTAGACCATGTAGAATTACCTGTAGCTCTACTCCAAACCATGGTGACGGATCGACTTGTCCATGGAACACATTGAAGTCCATCTACACGTCGAGTCGCTTTCCTCCTCACGTCGAGCCTTGGTCCGGATCCGGGAGTTCGTCCATTGGAGTCCGGGGCCCCGGATCGGCGCCAGTGGGTCTAGAGGAACTCCAGTCTTTTTTTATGTCTATAGACCATGAGAGTTCAATGATTCAACCCACGCTAACCCCCTACTAGCCCCCTACTAGCCCCCTATACCACCCCCCTACCCCCCAACGGCGCTTTTGGCAGCCTTTCTGAAATCAGGCCTTTTCCGTCCTGAGGAAGACAAGACCGGCCACCGTGGCCGGGAACCGTCTTCGGCCGTTCCCCCCCTTCTGAGCGAACGGGCCGAGCCTCGGCCGAGGTGTGGCGTACTTGATCCTCGGCGTGAGCGTTCGAACGCGGGGTGCAGTGAAGTCCGAAGGCACCCCAACGTGCAACGAGCATTTTTTTGGGGGGCCACTTCTGATCTGCACGTTGGAAAGAAGCAGTTTTTGGATGGAATCGAAGTACATACGGTATTAACACTCGGATGAACTGCGTGCAACAAGATATTTACACAGGGTCAACACATGCCAAAGCGAACATGCTGGTTGTCAAGTGGATAGGACATGACAACCATCGATAAGGCGAGGAGAACTGTCAGATGCCTGACCTGTCCCATTCTATCGACTCGGCCAATTACGGCCCCCAAAGCGGAGCTGACTGGACTTTGAACCTCCTTGGTTGGCCGGAACATTGCAAGACACTGACCGCCACACTTATAAAGTTGTGGGTTGTTGCAACGCTCGCACCAGACCTGTGCAAAGAATGCTTGCATTCATGGGCTAAAACCTCCCTGTTTGTGCTTTGGAGTTTGTTTTAGCCACAGGGGCCGGATGAAGGTTTGGACATGAAAAAGACGATCCAAAGAGGCCGGTGGTCCGTTGGGGGAAGTGATCAGTTACAATAAACAAGAGAGGTGTGGTGGTAGGGGTACTCAGAAGGGAGGATCGTGGCTGCACTATGTCCTATATCAGACGAATGGAAGGTCACCAATCGACCACCAAAGCTGTGACTTCAAGTCCAATCGGTTGGAGTGGACATTTTGATCCTAGGTTCAATATGAATTGATGTAAGAAGTGTCTGTTCTTTTCCAGCCGAAGCGCTCTAGAAGTGTGGATTAAGAAACACCGGTTTATGTGTCAGTGTGGCTCGACTCTGGACTCAGCCAGCCAAGCTGGGTTCTCCATCAGTGGTGCCCAACTCTGGACAAACACCCCTCAAGAGGAAACGCCTGGCCAGAATTATCCAGACCTTTTGCTTTTGGGGATGGCTGGCCCCGGCAACAGGGCGAGGGGGGTATTTTTGCAGGTGGACGGAAGAGATGAGATGTGGGGCTAATAATTACTGGAGGCTAGTGACATGCACACTCTATAAACGCTTTTCGCCCGGCTGACCATGTCGTCAGAACTCAGTATAAACGGTATGAACAATCTATACAGGGAGACTGAACCGCTGGCTTCGAGTCGTTCCCTTTCAAGGGGGTCTTCCCCTTGTCAGCAAGAACCCCCGGTTCATCAATCAGCAGGTCTTCAGCCGTTTTCAACACGCCCACCCTCTCCCAAAACGGGAGCTTCTCCGATGCCGGTGGCGCTCCGTCGTCTTCGCTCGCTCACAGCGGCCCTCAGGAAGAAGCGCTACAGCGCCTCCCAGTACGTCGCCGTGATCTTGTTGACCACCGGCGCCTCGGCGCGTCGCATCGCACCGCGTCGGTTTTCCGGTCGGCCACCGGCACCGGGGTGTTCGGGTGTTCGGGTGTTCGGAGGACCGGTCGGCCGGTCGGTGGACTCGGAGAGTGGGAGGGAAGTGGGACTCCAGTATTGGTGAAGAAGTAGAAGAAGTAGAAGGGAAAGGCTGGACTCAAGATGACTGGACTCAAGACCTCCCAACTGGATGACCGCTCGGCACTTCTCCAAAAACGGCCCCTCCCGTGTGTCAAACCTCCTCCTCCGCAGTTTCAGCAGCCCAGATGCACCCGGGCACCTGTTCCGAAGCTGGTTCTGGGCATCCACGGCTCGTTCGATGGACCGGGACTGGGAACACTCCGATGTGTCCCGCTCTGCGGCGTGTCGACCCTGTTGGGGCGACTAGGAGTCCGACACATCGGGGCGTCGTCTTGGCTGGGACGTGACACACCACGCGTGACGTTCCGCGCGGTCTGCCGACGTGGACCGTGGCAGTTTTCCGGTTCAGAGCACTTGATCGAAAGAAGATGCATGGCTTTTGGAGGGCGAAACAACAGAACCCTCAAAGGTGAAAGTGAAGAAGAGTTTGTTGCAGTCCCAACAAGCATCTATATATTCCCCACCATACCCCCACCTCTTTAAACGCAAAACATGCAATGCCTAGCAATGACTTCAGAGTCGAACGTGTGAATGAAAGGCGTTGCAAAAAGGAACTTAAGACGATCAACTTGCTGTGGATCACTACTCACAGAGTGTCACTTAGTTCACCCTGGCCGTGGTTGCAGGCCTGGTGATCTTGTGGTTACAGGTCTGTTTTTCAGTGTATGGGGGGGGCATCCGGCCACGATTGTGGCAGCCAAGGACCTTTTTGTTTGTTTGTGTTTCTTTTTTCATTGTTCATTGCATATATTGAAGGACCTTCTTGTAATGAGGTCCTGGTGAATGCTGTGACATGCTGTGACTCATTATACATTTGGTTTGCCCGACCCTGTAACAGTCCAACCGTCACTCGTTCTTGTAGGGTCCCAGGATATTTTCACAACTGGCTGTCACTTTCTTGGGGGACAACTGGACCACCCAATATATACTAATTATCTATAGTATAGTCTATATACAATTTATAGAGTATCTAATCTATATATTATACAAGTCTTACAGGAGTCCCTCCAGACGGTGGTGTTGAAGAACACTTGCAGCTCCTCCGTGCTCCTCCGCAGCGACTCCCTCCCAGGAGTGGTGGTGTTCACGCTGGGCGACGCCAAAGGCGCTTTTTTCCCATGGCTTTTCGGATGGAACCAGAACGTCTATGGAAAGGCGAGGAAGGTAGAGGAAGGTAGACGACGGGTTAGGAAGGCAGGAGACACGATTCACCGGTGGCGAGCCTTCTCCGACCGAACGAGCCACCGCGTTCTTCGCGGTGCAAGGGACTTCGGCGAGCGCAGGGAGGAGCTCAGGCACTCTGAAAAACGGACGTCGACCCGAGGGTCATATATAGATCCTGTTTTTTTTGGTTGGCATCAAAAAGGTTTATATAAGACACTAGTGACAAGTGGAACCTTTAAATTCAGACAAGCAAGATTCATTTGGTTAGATCCAAGGAAGAGAAACTCAGAATCCACCACCGCTCAACGCACGGTTACGAGACGCCCACTATGAACAAAAACAACACATCTTTCGGTAAATTGCTCATGTCAAATGTGTATAGCTGATCTTTTGGCGACCTCCACTTTGACAAGTGGATCGTTCATCACAAGGTGAGAGACGACAAGCAGTGATGACCATCTGGATGTCTCTGTCTCAAGCATGAAATGGAGTGAGAGCCCATCTGCAAATGGCACTTCTTCACTTTGTCATCGTCATGCAAAGCACCAGGAGCATTTGTGGGAAGCTTGCCCCAGCTTTTCCACGCAGGCCCAACATTGAAGACACGCCATCGCCCACGAGTGGCCCACGCCTTGGCTCCGCTCGATCCGCAGCAACTGGGATGTCGCCCGTACTGAGTACTGAGCCTCCAATGGCTGCGACACATCGGGCTTCACCAGATCACAGATCACTCATACACGACATCGCCACACTCATCTTTTCACGACGCTGCAGGTAATTACCAGGCATTGGAGAACAAAACCATATCCAGGTTGCTCTTTACTTTGCAGGTGCGATGAGTCGTGGCAACACAACACCAGTAAGAATCACAGACAGGTGCCAGTGACCTTCGAATCGTTGACATGATGCATGCGTGCTCAAATCTGACATGTGAGTATTGCATGCAGTCGGCTTTCGCGCTTGGTTGATGGACAGGATCCTGAGCCACGGTCCGCGGGGCTTTAAACAGCGCGAAACCATACGGGCAGCCTGTACCATTTGCGCCGAAGGGTCTGGAGTCACCCGGATGTTGGTTTGAGCTTGGAACGGTGGACAGTTTGTGGCGCTTCTTCCGGTCTTGTCACCTCCAGGGGCCTACAGCAGATCAAGGTATGTCACACAGTAGAGCTGGGAAAGGGGGAGCTTCCAAAAGGCCTGTTGCTCGACAGAAGGCATGGGTGTGAGCGGTACATCTCTAGGTGGACTTTTTGACTCTTTTGCGGGTACTGGACACGGAGAACAGCCTGTTATTTGCAGCACCAGACAGTTCAAAATTCATTTCAAGAGGCAAGTGGATGACACCTTGTCGGCTTGTGGGTTCCATGATGTGTTTTTGCAGTGCAAGCCCCCTTGCAAGCCCAACCGCAGGCAAATATATTGATTGTTTTTGTTATGCAAGCCTGCCCTGAAAGGTAGTGAGGCGGAACTGATTCCATGGCCCACATTGAGACATTGTATAAGACAATTCCTTTTATCACGTGGACATGTCCGGAAGTAAATGGAAGTAAGGTGGTTCCCAGAACGTGGCTTTAGATAAGGTTCCAGTGGTGGAGGTGTCAGTTTATTGCCCACACAAACCCAGGCAGCTAACCTTTGATCTGACATTGAACCCAGCACTCAGTGGATTTGTTCACCAAAACAATATTTTTCAGCAAATGGTGCTGGGTTTCAGAGATTCCATGGTTAATGTAAGTAAGACGGGTTGGCCTGCCAGCAATTTACCTTCCATTACCTGAACCTTGTCAGTACCCAACATAGACTGCTCAATCTCCATTACCCCCTAAGTCCATGCTTTTGGGAAGCTGAAGCGCTCAAGAGTGCATACCAATAAATGGTTTGGAATCAACCATGTTTTTTTCCCACAACTACCCTATATACTTCTTTGATTTAGGCGGACAGCCTCAAATTGGTTGACACGTTGCGAGACCGGTCGTGTCAATCTTTGGATCACGGTTCTCCGACCACCACGGGCCGGTGACCAACGACCCCCGGGGAATCACCACGACAAGGCGCTTCCGGTTTCTGGTGCCGAAGGAAACACGATTTGACGCATGTTTGATCAACCCCTGGTTAAACCAGGTCCCGGAGGCCCAATCGGCTGCAGGGCGCGCCTTCTTTAACCCCACGGGCATCGCGTTCATCGCGGCCGGCAGCCTGTCCGACGCGATGGCCGCCAACTACGAGGAGAAGGTCTTCTTTTCCAGGCGACGGCTCTGTCCGAACGTCGCGCTGCGCCGTGCGACACAGCCTCGTCGCCTCGGTCGTGCCCCGCGTTTGGGGCGAAGACGACGCTGACCTCAGGGAAGCACTGTGGCCCCCTGAGATTCCCAAGCAGCTTTGATTGAATGGTTCTTTTCGAAGCACCATGGTTTTGCTAAGCTATAAGGATTTTGGAGTACAAAGCCAGCTCAACCCAGTTTTTGAAGGGTCTTGGCAGGCTCGGGGGTTGACCAACTGGGAGTGTCGCCATCACCCACTGACCCAAAAAGAGATCTCCACAGCGTTCAGCAGGGCCAACGACGTTTTTTGTATTTTGTCAGGTTCTTGGGGGGAGTCTGGATGTTTTTGGGGTTTAGGAAGTCACAATTCCTTGGGCTTGGCGGTCGGGGTGTAGGAAAAGAGCAGTTTCTTTTGAACGGCAAGTCCAACTGATGCTGCCCCCCCATGCAAACACAGTAGCCCAGTAACGCGTCTGTCGGCCCAGAAATGCCACCCAATTCAGGTTCACACAACAAACGCCTTCGTTTCGCTCAGCCTGCACCACCCTTTTTGAGCCGGAGATCTCCCGACCCGTGCTCAGCCCCTGCAGAACGCCGAGTCGCCCTTCGGAGCAGAACGCCCGAAGAGCCCCGTGCTTGCCCCCCCTGCGGCGTCGCAGGAGAGGCTGCTCCGCCACGGAGGTGGTGCTCTACACCAGCGCGCTGGGCAGCGTCGCACGGCCGTGACATACGTCCGACGAGACGAGAGTCCCTTCGATCCCAGGGTCCCTTCGATCCCAGGGTCCCAGGAACACCCGGTGGGTTTCGATGTGGTCCGAAGACCAACCGACCTCAGTGGGTTTTTGGCAGGGTTCCTGATGCCGAGCCGGGTGGACCGAGCGAGGTGTGGGTGTTGCTGGCCGCCGGCGTGACTGGTGAGCTCTACTCGGCATATCGGCATTCCTTGGATCATCCGGAAGCGGTGCCTGGGAAGCGGGTGGGAAGCGTCTCTCTCTTTTGGAAGAGCAGGGCATGAGCAGGGCTTTTTGGGCGCAAGCCATGTGGATCGGTAAAAGGTGGATTCTTTTTTTGGTGGCACAAGAGGGTATAAACATTATGTATAGAACTATCTGGAAGGTGGGACGTTCAGGTCAAACATGTCGAAAGGTGGATTGAATCCTCCAAGGTCTTGCCGGGCTTCTTTTTTGGATTGGTGTAGGAGAGGGAGTGCTTGAGAAACATGGCATCTCCCAGATTTGGTTCACATCTCTTTCAAGGCTTATGAACAGAAATCAGACCTTATACTTGAGTGGGAGTTTCATATAGTGATGGCCTCTGAACTATTGCTTGGTTGATGAACTGAGGGGACTCGTATCTCCTCTCCCCCCTGACACTCTCGTGTACCAACCGTGGATGCGGTGCCCAGAAAACCCCGTCGTCACGACGGGCGCGGACCGAAGAAACCGGGCCATCGATGCACGGGAGGTCGCGATGGCACCGGGAGGTCACGTGAAGTCGACCCGGGCGAGCTCTGAGGTGCCGCTGATGCTCTTGGTGCCGACCTGAGCCGTGAAGATGTAGTGTGCGCGTTTGGAGGTTTCGAGCTCTGCGTTGGACTCCAAAATGATTAGAGCGTGTACCTAGAACCGGAGTGACCTTGATTTTGGAGGATCCACTATGCAAGAATATGGCCGGGCCCATAGGTACCCCCAGGTTGGCCGGGCTGCTTCACCTTTCCTTGGCACCTTCCTCCTTCCGCGAGCGCTTGGTTTAACAGCGGCCACATGGTGGGGAGACTCCGGTCGCAGAGGTCCTCTATCAAAGAACCCTCGCAGGGGGTGTTTTTGAATTCAATGGGCCAAACAGGTCCTCTGCCCCCCAAAACGAGTCACAGTGAAAATCTTAGAGGGCATCAGCATTCAGACGCTTACCGCTACCTTAGAGTCATGGACCAACATGGACAACCCCTTCCCAAAGAACCTGGAAACCCAAACAGCCACTTCCCATGTAAAGGATCACAAGCATTTCCAACCATTTCTGGTGTTCCAAGCATTTCTTTCTGGTTGGGACTGGGAAACGCGGTCCCACGCAGTGTTCTTCCCACCTTCCACGCGCTCCGCTGTCCACGGTGGACCTTCATCGCCTGAGGCATCGGTCTTCGGCTACGTGGCGCAGAGCGGCGTGTGGCTCGGAGGGCGGTGAGGGCAGCTGGCAGCGGGGCTGTGGCATTGTGGGGACGGAGGTGAGGGACGTGGTCATTGGGTTGGTGGCCTTTTGGCAGGGCTCTTGTCCGTTTGGAGGGGATTCGAAGGGGGGTTTTCAAGCAAGCTCTTTACCAGACCGCCTCCTTGCAGAGAGGAAAGCACCATTTCTTTCTGAAGTTGTGGGCCGACCACCTGACTTGGTAATTGGAGCCCTGACGATTTCATCCAGTGCTTCCCTCAACAGATTTCATCACCCACCTGTATGTCTCATCACCACCCTTCAGACCCTTCCTCCCCCCAGCCCCCATGGGACCCCCATCCCATCCTCTCCCTTGAAGCCACCCCAACCCCCAACAACTCACCACCGGTGCCGCCACGGTCACCGCCTTGGCGCCATCCTCACCCCCACCGCAGCTCTGGAGCTCCCCACGGGACCTTTCGCACCCCACCCCAAGCTGCCTGCGCTCGTTCATCGCGAGTGAAACCCGAGGCTTCTCCTCATCAAGCACTTCGGCGCCACCGCGGCGGAGATCGTCAAGAGCTGCCGCCGCTCGTTTTGGTCGTCGGAGGGACGTGGGGGTGGTGGTGAGGAGGTGATGGTCGGAGGAGGTCGGAGGAGTGTCGGAACAAAAAGCCGGTGAAGCACTGGTGAAGCATGGTGACACAGCTGTCATGATCCAGGATTTGGGGGACAGGATGGGACAGGATGGATCAGATCTTGACCAGTGAGAAGTGAATGAGAAGTGAGTGTCCAACTCGAAACAACTTGTTGGTGCCCTTTTAGCAGGAAAGTGAGAAGAACTCAGGTGGAAGATGAGACAGAGACAGTGATGAAGACCTATGAGCTTGGGGTGTCTCCTCAATTTTAAGCTCAGCCCTGGTGAGGCTGCACCCATGCTTTTTCCCTCTCTTGAGGCAAAGTGACGACCATTTGCATCTCCTTCATGGTCTACGGAAAGCCCTGGAACGGCTGCTCGGAGATGGCACAGCAAATTTTGAAGCCCTCACCGCAACATCCAAATGATTGACTGCGAGTTTTTCTTTTGGTACCGGTTTACAGACAGACCATTTGGACATTGATCCAGGAGTTTGAGAGGGGGGCAGCTTTTTTTAAAGCCCAAGTTTGACGTGCCTTCCAAGATCAAAAGCACGTGTCAAGAGTCAAGCGACAACGTATACCATGAACCCGAATTGCCACCAACTTCGAGTGAATGGTCCCACCACCTCCGAACCTTAACGGCAGGAGCCCTCAACGAACGAGACCCCCGCAAAGCTCCGTCCGTGTGGGCACGGCAGAGGCTTTCAGAGAGGCACGGCAGAGGCCGACGCTGCGCGTTTTCCGGGGATTTCCCGCGCTCCCGCAGGTTACCACGTGGCCGGCACCTTGCTCTTCGTGACCAGCGTGGCAGTGGAGCGCTTCCACTCGGGCGCTGAATCGAAGCCGCTGGGGCGGAGAGGGGCGGGTCGAGCGGTGCGAGCCTCCGAGGCTTTTTTCTTTCAAACGGTTTTTTTTGGGTACATGATGCGCGAGGGTCGGCAGCATGCGGTGTTGCTTTGGAAGTAGTTGGAGTCGAAATTGGGGTGATGGGTGGACTCTTCCAAAAGCGGGTGGGGTCATCTTTCATTTCAAGGCTCTTCTACCGGTGCCCGGTTTGGTGCCCTCTTGGCGCAGCTTGGCTTTCCAGGCGTTTCGCGACGGGGCTCTTCAGTAGCGCCTCGTTGGTGTCACTCTGGCTGGTTCTGGGTGGCATTGGACCCTCCGTCTTCAGCCCTTTGGCGGGAGGACGGGGCGGGCGAAGCTCAGACGGTGGGGTGAAGTGAGAGGGTGGTGATTGGTGCGTTTGTTGTGCTGATTGGGAGACGTGGAGCGAAGTGAGGCGAAGTGAGACGTGGGTCAGGGGCTATGTGAAGGTAATCCAACTTCTTACTTTCAGATCGCCATCATTCGCCATCCATATTGATACTCACATATATAATCATATACTGGTTTCGGTGAACTGGCATGAGAAGCTGAGGTTGACATTTGTCTTACATGATGGATGGATTTGACAGTAGAGTGTTTGCTTCCCACTTCGAATGTCCACGTGCAGGGGTTGAAGTACTTAGCTTCCATAATGATCACCAACTATATCCAACTATCCTCCAATCCTGCGATAGTCTTTTGTATGAATTATAGGAACCTGTCGGACGGGATGTTGGGGTCTCCCTAACCTTCCCTAAGATTTCCTAGGGCATCCTAGGGCTCTCTAGTCTTCCCTCTGGCCACGCAGCAGTGGAAACCCTGCGCTCTGAGGCATTGTCATTGACGCTGGTAGTGCTGGCACACGTGTGGCTCGGCGGATGGGGAAGGATTTTGGATGGCACAACGACCTCCTGGGAGACCATGGCTATCTGAAACTCAGCGACCTTGATCCTGCAGGGGAAATGCGCCTTTCTTGGTTTTGGGGAAGGCAAATTAGACCCTCCAAAGTCAGTGTCATCTTGGGTGCTGAAGAGCTTCTCTAGAGTGCAATTCTGGACGACGACTTCCCAGCCTAACTGAAGCAGAAATAACCAGACCAGCCATAACCAGCCTCAATCCAGAACACTTGGATCACCCACAAATAGTCCAGTGTGGAGGCTCCTCTTCCAAGCCCTTTTCGTGGCTCCTTTTGGCGGCCGCGTGGGAATGCGCCAAAGATCCGCCATGACCGGAGCCGCGCCCGGAGGATCTGGAGGATCCGGAGGATCTTTTTCTATTTGTTTTTCTCGGACCGTTCTCCAGATCCAACTGCTTGGGCAACTCATGACACCCAAAATGATGTGATCTTTGTGCAACAAACAGATTTTGGTTTCGTGCATGTGAGTTGGTTCAGTTCACCATGTCTTTTGAACATACATTTGGTTGAATCGATCTCGGCGATTTCGACGCTTCGTTTGGGTGAAGGTCCAATTTTGATCGGAGAGACGCTCCCGATCACGAGGTCCCTGTTATTGTGGCGGTCCGCATGCCAGCCATGTTGAACGGTGGATTTGTGAGGTTTTGGATCAAGCGTTCTCCAAGTCATTGAGGTTTTTGGAGCAGCCAGATGGCCATGAGGGTTTCATTTCGGCAGCTGAATGGCGAAGCGACGGTTCTGGAAGTCATGCCAGACATCACTGGTTGGGAACTCCAGGAGAGAATCAAGGCGTGCCAGCCTTGGGACGACGAGCTCACACGTAAAACAACCCGGGTGGACATCGTGGTGGGGGAGGGCAGATTGCGGAAGAATGATGAGACAGCTGTAGATGCAGGCCTTGGTCCAGATTCAGAAGTGACCGTAATTTCGAGACAAAACATGGTGACATGCTCTCACAAAGTTGACATCGTAGAGTTTGACTTGGATAATTTGTTTGCAGTTCAAATCCCAAGCAGTGCAACTGAAATTGTTCCACGTGCATTCGAGTTTTGCAGAATGCTGGCAGCTGTGACCATCCCGGAGGGAGTGGCCCATATTGGGAATGGTGCCTTCGCATTTTGCAGCGCGTTGGCAAGGGTGACCATTCCCAACTCAGTGACCGAGATTGGGGATAGGGCCTTTTTGGAGTGCAGCTCTTTGGCAAGTATGGCCATCCCTGACTCGGTGACCAGGATTGGGTCTTGTGCTTTTGCATTGTGCAGCTCGTTGGCAAGGGTGACCATCCCCGACTCAGTGACCGAGATTGGGGATAGGGCTTTTTTGGAGTGCAGCTCTTTGGTAAGTATCACCATCCCTGACTCGGTGACCAGGATTGGGTCTTGTGCTTTTGCATTTTGCGTCTCCTTGGCAAGGGTGACCATCCCCAACTCAGTGACCGAGATTGGAGGAAGAGCCTTTGCAACCTGCAGCTCGCTGGAGAGTTTGACCATCCCCAGCTCAGTGACCCAGATTGGGTGTGGAGCCTTTGGAAAGTGCAGTTCGTTAGCCAGTGTGACCATCCCCAACTCAGTGACACAGATTGGGGATGAGGCCTTTGGAGAATGCACATCGCTAGCAAGGGTGACCATCCCCAACTCAGTAACCCAGATTGCGTATGGAGCCTTTCGAAAATGTTCGTTAGCCAGTGTGACCATCCCAAACTCAGTGACCCAGATTGGGGCTGAGGCCTTTGCAGAGTGCAGCTCGTTGGAAAGTGTAACCATTCCCAACTCCGTGATCTGGATTGGGTATGCAGCCTTTGCAGGATGCAGCTCATTGGCACATGTGACCATTGCAGAGTCAGTGACACAGATTGGTTGGAGTAGCAGAACCTTTGAACGGTGCAGCAGGCTGGACAGTTTGACCATCACCGACTCAGTCACCCGGGGGGGTGAAGGTGAAGCAACCGTTTCACGATTGATTTCTTTGGGTTTGAGGTGGAAGGTGGTGACCTTCATATAATGACCACCGTGGCCGCTCTCGTTGAGAGCCTTTGTTGAAGCTATTATGTGCTTGCTGAACAGGATCTTGAGGCAAGGACATGCTGCATTGACATGCTGCCAACGCTGGACATGGTCCATTTGCTGTCGCCCTTTTAGGCAGCCAACGACGCCTTCGTTCGGGGCTCGCTGGCTTGGAGCCGCCGGTCTTCTCGGTGCCAACAAGTCCCGGACCGACACCGCTTCGTCCGGTGGGTTGTTGGGACACAGGGAGTCTCACCACTAAGAGGCTACTTATATAGACACCTCTTGGAAGCTCCTGGTGAGTAAGACTAAGATAGACTTAAGTACTAAGTACTCCTTTATCTATTGGGCCGCCTGCTTCTCTATGCCACCATGCCTTTGACACACCATTCGAAAAACCGGCCTTCCCCAGAGCACCGGCGCCGCACTGTACATGTGGGTCATCATAGGTCTCCATGTCTTTGGACCTAACGACGATTGATCCAAACAGCCCCGTCCTGCAGGACGTCCCATGGCGTCCGGACGCCGTGGTCGCCGGAGTGAAAAAGCACTCATGGGTTGGGTAGAAGACGCCCGTGAAAGCCAGCTATTGTTCTTTTTTTTCCTATGGTTTCTTTTCTTTGCGGGCTTCATCCTACCGAAGAGTTTCCGGAAAAGAACAGAAAGAACCGAAAGCGTGCCCCCCCAACATCACTCGCAGGTTCTCCGAAGTCCTCCGTTCGCCGGACAAACCGGTGGAACCGCCGCCTCCGAGGTGAACGTCTTCCGCTTCGACTCGTGGACGCTGAAGCTGTTGGACCTGAACGGCGCCGCGCAGGCGCGTGAACCGGGGGAGGAAGCGGAACGCGGCGGGGAAGAAGCGGAAGCGGGGAGGCTGGAGAAGGTGGAGCTTTTCGGTTTTGGACTCCAAGAACTTCAGATGACTATGGGAGTGAATTCCACAAACTCCAACCGAACATAGCATTCCCTCCCAGATTCCTCTTTGAGAACACGGCCACCGAGGTCTTTGTGGAGGAGGAGCCCGGCGTCGGAGAGCTCCTCAACCAGAGCGCCTTGGCCGCGCCGGTGCGGGGGCTCGGGTGATGCGGTGAAGATGGCGCCGATGAGGTGGCGTCCATGTCATGTTCCGTTGATGTCTGAATTTTGATATAGAAAAGACATATCATGTTTGTCAATTGTATTGCCGTGATCCTCTTTTTGATGTCGGTTTTGGCCCCACTGGGAGGAGAGGGGGAGATCTTGAGATGCCTTTTCAGACTTGGGAGGTCCGCCACCTGAGAAGCACTTATCAGAGTTTTTGAAGATGGCAGAGCACCTTAAGTGGTGCCAGAGTTAAATCTAGGCCAGAGGAGAACCCCGAAGAGACTACAGTTGGGGCGCATAGTGCAAGTCTGAGCAGGCATCGTGGCGTCTTCCTATATCCATGCTGTTTGCTTTTTTTGGGAAGGGAGAAACCAAGCCTCCAAGCCCCGAAAGACCAACATACCAAGCCTAGCGTTGCAAGACTAGCAAAAGTATGGGTTGACCTGCTTTTGTCGTCTCAAACAATGGTTCTTCGGGATTCAGGCTATCAAACCCATGGTGAAAACACGTGATCCTAGTACGCGACACCCACGGGGCTGGCATATTGAAGAAATCACTTGGCGTTGACCCGGGGTCAATGGCGAGTTTGAACATCAAGACGTCCCTCCAAGTCGATGGACAAAGATCCTTCACACTTTTGAAGTGGCCTTCTCCAATTCTCAACAGCACCACTCTCAACATCACCATCCTTTAAAACAAAACAGACCAGACCCTCGGTGTTTCACGGTGTCAGAGACACGTGCCAGAGTCCTCGACCCGAACGAACCTGCGCGGCCCCGGGCTCGCGGACGACGCTCCGCCGCGCAGGTGCCCTGCAGCGGCAGCTGGAGCGGCTCCTGGCGGCGGCGCAGGAGGCGGTGCCCGTGGGCCAGCACCGGCTGACGCCCCTGGCGCTGCGCGCCACGCGGTCGATGGAAGAGCTCAGCACACAACAGGCCCGGTCTACGGGCTTCTACGGGGGCTGCTGGTAAGAGGTAAGGAGGTGAGGGGAGGGCAGGGTGGTTGCTGGGTTTGGGGGTGTAGTAGACGTGTAGATTTAGATTGCTTGTTAGATGTTTGGTAGATATATTGACTTCAGACGAGGCAGTTGCTTTGATTCATCGTGAAGCTGAAGTTGTGCCAATGATGCTTGTGGGAGATCATGGAGATCATTCACCAAGCACTTTACGCATAAGCCTGCATCATAAACCAAGTGTTCTGTGTCATAGGCATCCTATACAGATCTAGATGGATCCGACCAAGGGAGGACGAACTACGGCGACCATGGCTGAACCTGTTGGACTGTGGAAAAGTCGGGCTCCTTTGTAGGGGGCTCTACTGAATTTTTAATTTTGCCTCCAATCACCCGCAAAGCTAGGTCAACCTCTGCCTCCCAAAATCATTCTTGATAGAGTATGAGTGAACCTACCAGGCCTCCACACAAGACCTGGGACCCCTCTATGAGACTTTTCTGCTCCAGAGTCTGCTCAGAGTCGAAGAGGAGGAGGAAAACCTCTCCGAACGGTGCACCAAAAAGGACCCGAAGGACCCCCTGTCTTAGCACCTTCACAGCTGCAAAACGGAACACACCAGATGTCATGTCATGTTGGCGAAGAATGCTTGCTTTCAAACAGACCGCCTCTGACCAAGGCATTTTCTTTTCAATCACCACCCAAAGTGGGTGGTGCTGGGTGGTCTTTTTCCGCTGTGGACACTTCTTCACTCTGTGAAAAGAACCGCTTCGGTGCCGTCTCCCAAGCAGCAGGGCCCAGGGGCTTCGAACGGACGCGACGTCGGAGAACCCGCACGACCAGTGCCCAGGAGGGCGCACCGCGCTGCCCTTCGTCGCGGCCGCTTCGTCAGATCGCCCAACCCCCCTGCCGGCCGTCGCCCGTCTAGTCGCGCCCGGTTCCCTGCATTTTCGTCCTCGGTGTCCGGAGACCCCGCGGAGCGGAGCAGGGGGGAAAAAGAGACCCTCTCCAGCCTCGCAGAGGTCTCGTCGAGGGTCTCTCGCCGAGATCTCGTCCGGCGCGGGAGGTGGACGATCTCTTGTCGCAGATGAAGGGTCACATCGCCCAAGCGGGTTTCAAGGTGCCCCCGCTGGTTGGGGGCGAGCCGCGGTTGGGGCGGTTGGGGCAATTGGCGCGCCAAGGGAGCGCCATGCAAACTCAGCTAGTCCAAACTGTCCAAAAGTGGAGGAGCATGGATCGTTCTGAGCATTTCCTCGAAAGGCAGTGGATCAAAGAGCCGGGGCTCTATCTGGGGAACAATCAGATGCAGATGTGAGTTGGTGAGTTGGTGAGTTTCCAACCTGCCAAGCTATAGGCTATAGATGCATGCTTGAGCTTCTTGAGACGCGTGTGATTGGGTCCTTTGGTCAGCCAATGTCAGAGCCTACAGATGCCATATGCATGTTTTTGCGCGCTTTCGGGTCCCGAGCCTTTCCCATCACTCTATGGGCATTTAGCTTGTTTAAAGCACCTTGTTGAGACAAGTACAGCCCCAAATGGGCTTTTCCAAGATAGACTCCCTCACACAAAGACCGGAAGACCATTTAGACATCATTCAACCACCAGGGTTCTTTGTATCGACTGTGAGCATCGTTTGGGCCGGAGCATCCACTACTGGGCCTGTTCGGGACGCTCGTTCGTCGCCGTTCGTTGTGTCCAGGACGCCGGGGTGCAGCCCATGTCTGGCAGTGAAGAAGCTTTGGCGGAACCTCAGCTGGACATTGGACCCTGCAGTGAGAAGAACGCGCCTGGAATGGGCTGTGGGCTGTGGGTGGACATCCCTTGAATCAGTGCCTTTGATCCGGGGTCAACTCGGGTGCCTGGCTTTTGACCCAAAACCACATGGTTCCATAGATGTTCGACGAAGTCGGTGAGTGGGAGCGTTCGATGCGTTTTTTTTCAAGAAACCTTGATCCCTAGGGCTCCAATATGCTCCTGGCCCATCTCCTCAGGTTCGGTGGTATGAGACCCCCCTGGCACCCACCCCAACCACCGAACCGGAACGGAGGTAGGCCAGCGGGCTCTCCACAAAAGACCGAAAGCCCACAAAAACCCATGAGAAACCCATGGACCCCCGCTTCCAGTGGCCAGTCACCAACGGTTCAATGAGCCTTTCGGGCTCCAGCGGTCTTCGTCTTTTTGAAGCAAAGGAAGATGGCACCCCTTTCGGGCCCTCACGTGAACCCTCGCTCTTCGACCGTTTCGTCTGAGACGAGATCCCGAGCGAAGGTCGGCCTCATTTGGATCCAGGGGGGATATGTTGAGGGATTTGGGCCCTTTTTCAGCGACTCAGATCCAATTCCTTCCATCGCTTCCTGCGCTTCGCCACATCGGCCGCTGAACGGTAGTTGGACGTTTTCCGACCCACACGGATCCCAGCCACCTCCGATCCTCCTTGGCTCGCGCGCGCCACCGGACGAAGTGCGGGAGTACTGTGGATGATGGCACCACGTCCTGAGAGGAATGGGTTTCTCTGGCTCCACATGCTTCGAACCGAGCGCAGCTCGCAAGCTCGGTTCGCGGACGCGTGTGGCGTGCCGCGCGGACGGTCGTTTGGACGAGGAGTGGATGACCGTGAATTTGCTGATGGGATGCTTCCAGCCGGGCCTGAGGGGGGCTGCTTGGCGGAGCGAACCGGCGTTCTGGGGAGGATCTGTGAGGAACTCGTTCTTCTTTTGGGTGTGAAAGAAAAGGGCATGGAGGCGCGAAATAGATCGAAATAGTAGAATTCAGCCCGAAAGCTGTCAAAAGGAATGAAATCCATCATTCCAGACAAGTGAAGCTTACCAAGTGGGAGAAACTTGTATATGATGACGATTGGGATCCACATAGGCTCGTAGGTTTCAGTCACTTGTTTTTTGCCAGTCCTCCAAAAGACCTGCTGTCCCACCGCGACCTGAGAGCACGTCGCCTTTGTCCATTGAGGCAGCGCATTCGTCTTGCTTAGGCGCATGTCTTCCCCATTCTGTGAAGTGCTTCGTGGTCTCTGGAACATACATGTTGTTTGGATATTGATATTGACATTGCTTGTGTAGTTTTTTGTATATAAGATGTTGGAATGCATTTCGTTATGTCATGTCGTTATGTGCGTCTTCAACAAGTGTCTTCGATGTTCGATAGTCAAAGAACAGCGCAAAACGAACAGCGCACGCAGAAAGAATGCGCCAGATTTTGGTGGATGCTTTGGGGTTGTCAGCTGGGTCAATTTAGAACTTGGTCCAAGTTGTCCTGAACTTAGCCTACGTTGGCTTCAGCTTCGGGTCAAATTGGGTCGTCATGATGCAACGTGAGTCGTTTGGATTCAGCTTGTGTTCAAGTTGCCCCGAGTTTGCCTCAAGTTGGGCCGAAGTAAGCCTCATGTTGGCCCCCAGTTGGCCCCGAAACAGTCTGCGAAAAGGGCACGCCCGCAATTCCGAGCATGACGCGACATTCGAAATTCAGACGCCTTGGATATGAGTTCGGTCCCCCGCAATTCGCGTGTTCCCCTTTTTCGGCCCGAGTTCGTTTCATCCGTTGCTCCCAGGTTCGGCACCCCGTGGCCGTGGTCGACCTGGGCGGTGCCACCGTGCAGTGGCTCGGCCGAGCGCCGAGACCAGGGCGGATCTCGGTGGACAATTCGGGCTCCGAACGTCAAAGAACTCGATGTAACCTAAATACGGTGCTGTTGGAGGAGGGCAGTGGCTGATCATTTTGGGATGCGTCTCCGCCATTCTCGTCGATTTGCAGCGTGTTGCGCACGGAACATGACGGAACATGTTCCCCTTCTACTTTGAAGGTTTCCTTGCGCTCACTCGTGGTGCTTGTTCAGTCTGGGGTTTTGATCGTGGCATTCCGGTGGATCCGTGCAACTTCGTCCGATGGTCGATGAGACGCAACGCGACGAGACTCGTGCGACTCACCTGGCCCACCCAACTCACCCGACTCACTGACCATTCCTGTGTTATCCTGTGTTCAGAAACATGTCATGTTCCAGGTTCAAATCACGCCATGTTGAACGGAGTTCGGATCCGTGATGGACGCAATCCGTTCCCTCCCCCCTCCCCGAAGGCAAAGACCTCGAAGTCAAAATCTGATGGATCCACCGGTCCAACTGTCCTGGATGATTTGACTCAGGAGCCGCTCCCTCTCAGTCAATGGTTTGCTCCCGGATGTGCGCGCGCGCCGCCCGCCCGACGTCGCCTTCGTCGTTCGATCTTTCAGGATGGCCTACTACCTCCACGACCGCCAGGCCAGTGAAGCCAGAAGGAGCCTGCTCCTCGTGGCGGTGTTTGGGTGAGTCGGTCGGTCGTGCAGCCGGGGGGTGGCACGGCAAGTGACTTCGTTCCATGGCGATGAAACCAAATAGAAAGAGTTTGCATGAGTCTGCCAACAAATAGTTCACGTCGGCATGGGACCGTCGCGATTTTGCACGAAGCGTGGGCTTCTCCCCTAAGACTCCATAGCAAACCGCAAAAAGCTCTCAGGTGGATTGGGAGAAGGAACCCTGACCTCAACCCGAGACTGTCAGAAGGTAGATCTATCCGAAAACCAAAAACGACCTGAACGCATCCGAAAAAGGTCGCCTCCTGATCCCATGAGTTCCTTTTTGATTTCCGCAGTTTATTTTGCGGTCGGCGCTCGCTCTGTGGGCGCCAACAAACGTGGGTCCTAAACAGGCTGCGCTGCGCTGCGCGGCCACATGAATTCTTTTGTGGCCGTAAGTAACGACTGGCTGCGTGACAGTGCACCACGCTCTGCGGGTGAAAATCAGGGTGGTGCAAGGATTCTCTCATTCCATCCCCCAAGAACTCCAGCTTCCGAACCAACGGAAAGGGGCGTTTGCTTCTATCTCCGCACCCCCGAGCTTGGAGCTCCCAGCTGGGAGCGAGGCTCAGGGTCCAATCCTTGCGGGGGCCAAGATCTGCGGGTCGGACGTGTTGCCCCCGCGCGCGGAGGAACCAGTTGGACCACTACATCAGTCGGATCACTCTCCCCTTTGGCAGCCGGGAACCTCCAGGGGCTTCCTTTCACGTCGAACAGTTCGGATTCCGTTGCAAACAAAACATGCAAATTTTGGGTGACCGAGAGCAAACTGCGACCCTTAAGGTGTGTGGTCTTGTGTGGTTGCGTAAAGGAATACGGATTTGACATGAATCCCACAGAGAAGACAAGCAGGATCGTGTAGGCGCCAAATTGAAGATTTGCGTTGGGGAGCGTGTCAGGGTGCTGTTTGGGGGAACTGGGTGGTTCACGGCCCAGGATCTGTTGTATGTCCTTTCGATATTCCACTGATCCTGAGACCGGGCCCGATCTACCCGTTTGATGATCCTTGTTGGTGCCAAGAAAAGCGTAAGAACAAAACAGAACTGGTTCACCATCGTGGAATTGGTCTGATTGGAGAACATGTGCATCTTCGCAGATGTCCTCCGTGACAGGCTGCCCTTTCCTGGCCTGTTGAAGCTGTTTTTCCAGATGAAACCCAGGAACGGTACAGGAAGAAACCTAAGTATCACAACAAGAAGTCCGTCCCTGTTTTATGTTCGACTCGCCTTTTCTTCACATCTTAACCCCTGCCCCTGCCGGGAGGCAGGACCAGCTAGGGGTTTACTGCTTCCTTGAAACCTCAGGGACGCACCATTGGTTCTCAGAGGAAACGTACATGTGTTTTTGAAGGATGGCAGGGACTCGCAGATCCTTATATTATGTAAGACAGTCCAGGTCCAGTGACTTCGATCCAAGCATCTGAGTCAACCAGGGGTCCTGAGTCAACCAATTTCGCTCATCTCAGGCGAAAAGACCACACTCCATGCACCCTGGCATATCCCACACCCTGCAGCAATCTATAAACCCTGTGAAGCAGGGCTCCTACCAACCAACAATAACCCCCACGAATCATGGATTGATCATGATTGATCCAATCAAGCCTTGGTGAAGGCAGAACCAAAACTTGCATGACTTCCATGACTTCCTCCGGACTTCCGTTTCGATTGAAGTCCATGGACTCGACGGGGCGGATCGAGGTGGGCCGGTGCAGGTCTACAGGTCCGGAAAGCGAAGCGGGTACCGGTCAGAAGCGTCGGGGTCAGCTACAGCGGGGGTCAGAGGCCATCTGACGTCAGGTGGTTCTGATGTCCGGGGATCTTTGGGACGATCCGACATGCTAAGTGATCCCACATGGATCTCATCATGATCAAGTCTCGAGAAGTCAGAGAAGCAGAGGGCATTAGCTTCGGAGCGACACCAGTCGAAGTGCATCAATGTTGGTGGCGTTCATCGGTCGAAGTGCAGCGACGGCGGCGGCGCCTTGTCGCCGAGGGCCCTGGGTGGAAGTGGTTGTGAAGTCTCGGACATTGGGACATGGTTTGTGGAGATCCCTGCACATGGTTTCCACTCGCACCAAAGACACACACCTGCAGGTTGTAGTCGACAACCTTGGTCGTGGGGATTGTCCGCAGTCTCATTGTATCAACAAAAACCTGTCGGTCGTCAACCCGCAGAGGGTCGAGCCCGTGCCTTTGGCCGCTGTTTCACCATCCGAGGCACGGACGTTGGGGAGAAATGGTTTTGGTGGACAACCCTCGCTTTCCAACGAGCAGATAAGTGGACAACCCTCCCCCGACCCCCAACAAGTCCACTTTCATCTTGGCTGTTCCCAGGTACGCTCCGAGGTACGAACTCATTTACACCAGTTTTTACAGCTTTTCGGATTTTGAGGGTCATCCGAACATGGGGGGGCTCATTTTCATCCATGTTCCAGAAAACTAGGAACCATGTGATTTTTTTCATTCATTTTCAACATTTTCATCCATTTCCCATCGTCCATTTTTCATTTTCCATTTTCATGATTCTTCCAGGGGTGCCAGTTGATTGAACATGTGATTCCAGTGACAATCGCGAAGGCACCGGTGAACACCACCACGTCGCTCGAAGGCACAGCTACGCGGGCTACGGCCTCTTTGCAGCCGGGTGGCCTGGGTGTCTGTCAGGGATCAGGGTAGCCAGGAGTTGTGCCGCAAAAAGCACCCAGAACGAGTGGCGCAGTGGGTATCATCGCGTGTGGTGGAGAAATGTGAGGCTTATCAAAGAGGTTTTCACGAGGAAACATGTAAAACCCTGGTGAATTAAATTTCCAAAACAACCAAAGCAACACAAGTCTCAAACATACTTAAATATGATCTCAACAATATTCAATAGGTCACCAAACCACCAGTATGAACAATTACAGTGATGTCAAAATCAGTCAGCAAGACAAGTGTGAACCACATGTAAACAAAACGGGATTTGAACACTTGTCACCAAAACACAGGTCTGATAAATCTGCAACACGCATAAAGAACATGCGACTTGAAGACATGACAACACAGCACACATGTAAGCACATGTGACAAGCATGTGGTTTTAGGGTTATACTGCGACACTCGAAAACACAAGTTTGCAAGCATGTGATGTATGCAATAATGGTGTGATGCCAATCTGTGATCACTATGTAAAAGGGGACACATTGATATCAATGAAACGAATCAATGTACACCAAAACAAGTGATAATGGGTGATTGGGGACACAGTCCCGGCAGCTATGAAACGAAAACAGACGAAGTATGAAACACACAAAGTACGACCATGGGATCTGACACGTGGACACATGCGGAAAGGCTTAGCACCACAATGCACAGCAAAGGAACACCTTTCCTGAGCGACACAGGTAAAACCAACCCACACCAAAATCACCCCAAGAACGCCCAACTACTGTAGACAAAGTCAGACTAAAAATTAATGTTACGTAATACAGAATGAACTGTTGAACATGGAGAACAGCTTGCATATTTGTACACGTTTGTAATGGCTTTCATCCGGTCCGTTCGTCCAAGCCATGTAGACGTCTTTTTGTTGTTCGTCGCTTGAGTGGATGGGTCTCTGTGTTCGGATGCTTTCCGAACATCAATGCAGTCAGACCATCTGCTGTCAGCTTCTTCCGCTTAAGGTCTCCTGTCTAGACAGACTAGCCCTATAGCATCCAAAGAAGCCTAAGACCACTTACTTGTGGATCTCCATTTGAACACCGGTGAGGTGTTCACCTTCGAGGCACTCGGCTTCTCCGCGCCGCACCCGCCGCCGGTGTTCAGCTCTGCTTCGGGTCTCGCCGACCGAGGCGAAGGTGAGAAGCTTGCGGGAGCTGACGCAGGCGGAGACGCGGAACCGACCGGTCGGAGCGGGTCGCAGCGGGTCGGAGCGGGTTCGTTCCGGGTTCGTTCGAGCGCGGTAAGGGACCGAAGCCACCCGTGGGGGGGGACTTCTGAGGGAAAATCCATCCACCACCTGGACTTGGAAGGGGAGGTTTCTCAGACGAAAATGTCTCGATTTCTCCCATGAGCGCTGCGAGTTGAGCCAAAAAGCCCCTATCGCCTTCGACTTCCGGACGATTTTCTTCGACCCCAAATCGCTTTCGGTTGCTTTTGGCGTAGATCGCACGTCGAAACGCCAAAAAGATGCGAAACGCCAATGGGAACAGTTGAGAGCCTTGGCATACGGTGAATCACGTGGTGATTGGAGCCTGGAGCCTGAGGTTTGACGGGGCCTTGGTTTGAAGAACACGGTTTTTACACCTTGGTGACAGGGAAAGTGGGTGATTCTTTGGGCAAGTGACACAGTGACGGCCAACTTCCCTCAGAGATAGACCTTGGTTCTAAGGAGCCACTCAGGATGTTTTCTCCAAGGCTTAAGAAGTTCCCAGGCTTGGTCACTTGTTTTGGAGTGAACCTCCAAAAACAGGCCCACGAAGCCAAAACATACCAGCTTGTATAAGTACAGTATAAACTTTGGTGTCTGCTGGAATTCTCTGGTGGTAGAGTCTGAACCAACGCGGTGGCTTTCCGAGCCGTTCTTGCGGTCCGAGCGCCCCTGCCAAGGCGGGCTTTGCATTGCAACGACATCCCTGTGGGCGCCCAAGAGTGGTCGCTGCAACGCCAGCGGCTTCCGAGCCATCTTCGGACCGAACGTGTGGTCCTCTCACCCCCAAGAAACGGACCTTGGATCCTGTCCAACTGAAGGGATATCAACCAACCAGGTTGTCGTTTTTTTCCATCCCCTCAGCATCCAACAGGCTCTTTGTTTCACATGACAAGTCCCTGCACCTGAGGCCTCCCAGCGCACCCCGTGCAGCTCCGCAGCCGCCGCCGGGTCTGGGCGGTTCAGGGAGCCGCTCGGCCAATCGGGGTGGGAAGGGCCGCCTCGGCTGGGAGGGGAAGTAGGGACCATCTGGCGGATGGAGTAGGGCCAGACTCAGAACTCACAGGCCTCTTTGGGTAGGCCAAGCTGATATAATGCTCAAAAATGATGGATATAATGCTCAAAAATGACGATTAGAGAGCGAGTTTCCTAATCACGAAAGCTAGCCTTAGCTAGCTGGAGTTGCTCTTGCTTTAGCAAGTTAAGTGACGGGGTGGACGCACCTCAGAAACCTCAGATAATTGATTAAATCAATCTTATGGACCCCCCCCCTGAAAAGTAGAGCCTACCTGTACAGGGTTCCACTCCAACAGCTGATATAGTGTGTCCATGCTTGACTGCTTCAAGGCTCAAGAGAGGGTCAATGGACCTAAGAGGATAAGACTCAGCGTGAGTAAAAGACACTAGCGGTCTGCACCTCTACCGTGTACGCCCTAGTCACTCTTTCAGTGGTAGCGGAGCAGTGATCCTGGAAGACCCAGGTGAGCTCCTTTCCTAGGCATAGAATTGCTTGTGGGCAAACGGCCATGGATTGGATTGACGACTGGGAAGAGCCTGATGCGGATGTGGCTTATGAGCCAGCAGCCTACGTGAATAGGCATGTGAGAAGAGAACCAGCAGCAATAGCAATGACAACACAGGTCACTACAAAGGTGCCCCCATCTTATGATGGAAAGACTTCATGGTTTTCCTATGAGGATGCCATAGACGATTGGTGTGATATCACCGAGCTGGAAGAAGAGAAGAGAGGACCAGCTTTGAGAAACAGATTAGAAGGAGAAGCAGCAGTATACAAACGTGTATTAGACAGAGATTCATTGAAGGCTAATGAGCCACCAGGAGCAGGAGTAGATTACTTCAAACGAGTACTACGACCATATTTCGTGAAAGGATCAACCAATGTATTCCTATACAGGTTTATGCAATTCGTGCGATTCAATCGAGGATCAGCCGACATGATGAAATGGATGACAAGATTCCAGATTTTACTCCAAAGGCTTATGAGCAGTTGGATGGACATGTTAGAACCAGTCACTCAAGCACATCCCCAAGTCCTTGCTCAGATGCAGGCAGATGCAGCGTTGACTGGAGTAGCACCAACGGCAGAAAGGATTCAGGAAATCATGCAGAATGTCAATGGCAATATGAGAATTCTTCATCAGAATGATTTTCCTTTAGGAGAGAATCTGATTGCTTTACTCATGCTGTCACTTGCAGATTTGTCTCAGGACCAGCGAAACACTTTGACTTCATTGATGACTCATCGTGGCAGGTACCTGCAGCAATACACTACAACAGAGCTGAGGACAGTTTTCATCGAGATGTTCTGCACGACAAAGACTTCAGTAGACAATCCTTTGATGCAGCCGACAGGTGCTGGAGGTAGAAGATCATTTCTCGTACTAGATGAAGGAGAACTCGATGGTACATTTGGCTATTGGGCCGAAGATGAAGAAGATGGAACAGAAGGATTTTTAGATGCCCTGGACGATGTCTTTTGGGTATATGATGATCAAAACTTCTCATGGTTCCAAAGGAGATTCCAAGGAAGAAGAGCCAGAAAAGGCAAAGGAAAAGGTAAAAGGAAAAGAAAAGGAAAAGGAAGATCAGGCCGCAGATTCTTCAGACCTCGTGGAAAAGGAAAAGGAAAGAGACGAGGTAAAGGCCATTTTGCTGATGAGCAACAGACAACTTTTCCAGATGAATACCTTGAAGAGAATCCTTATGAGGACACTTGGGAGTCAAACCAAGGAGCATATGATGCCATTCTTGCCGAGGATATGAATGACTATCTTCAAGGAGAATATGATGATGCCAATGACTTTTGGCAACAGCTTGAAGAAGCATGGTTTTCCCACAAAGGAAAAGGAAAAGGCAAGAGAAAAGGCAAGAAAGGAAAAGGAAAAGATAAAGGAGATGGCAAACAAGATGCAAACTATGCAAATCAACAACAGCCACGTTCTTTCCCTGTACCTTCAAGAACTTCACAAGCATCAGGAGGTCAACAAGTTTTCTTAGCACATTGTGTGACAGCAGCAGCTGAAGTCCATGACAGTGAGGTGGACTTGCTGTCAGGCATGATGACCTCATGCCAAGATGAAGCTGACTGCGTGGTCAACAATGGTGAGACGATCTTCGATGACATGAGTGCCCCTGTGAGGTACTCTTTGTCAAAGGAGATGCTCACAAAGGCTCCTGATGGCTTTGCGCTTATGAGCGCTGATGGCTTTGCGCTTATGAGCGCTGAGGAAGAAGTGAAGGAGATGCAGGCTATTTCATTTTTGACTGAGAATCGCTTCCCGCCAACTATTGCAATCCTGGACATTGGATGCACTAGAGCTATGGGATCAAGGCGAGCAGTCGACCATTTTTGCAACTATGTCGATAATCACCCAGACTGTGGATTATGGTACTCTTTTGAGGCTACCAAGAGCAAGTTTTACTTTGCCAATTCCCAGAAGGCTACTTGCTCTCAGAAACTGGTGATTTATATGTATGATCGTGCATGGACGATCCATCAAACAGAGTTCGACATAGTGGAAGAAGGAGAAGTCCCTTTGCTTATGAGCTTGCCACAGATGAGGAACTTAGGCTTTGAACTCAGGCTGACACCTCGACATGCTTATCTGACATCGGTGCCTCTTGGTATCAAATTTTTGGAGTTGAAGGTTGCAGCCAGTACTCATCTTGTGTTGGACTTCCAAGATATTGCATGGTATCTGTCCGACGTGCGTTGGCAGACTCAGCGTGAGAAGAGTTTTTACTCTCACCTTACTCACTATGAATATGGCCATATTTCTGTTGAACACAATAGTGATGAAGGTGAAGCTAAGCATGCATATCCTGTGGTTGATTTCTGGGAAGTAGATGTTCACAAGAGAGAACTGATACGTCACCACAAGGATTACAGGAAAATTCTTTTCCCAGCAACTAAGTCTTGTCCTGTAGACACTGACTTGCTGGAAGACTTGCGACTGACAATCATCAAGAAGAAAACAGGAGGAGAAGAAATCAAGAAGACAGATGATTGGCGCAAGGCAAAATGGAAGGACCTACAACTTGGCTATGAATGGCGTGGTAGAACAATTTTTAAATTTAAGCCAGATGCCAAAATTCCAGATCTAAAGATCAGGAAGGCTGGCATTGAGCACCGTGGCATTGGTGATCCCGATGCAGTGGTGCGCTCCTCCTCAGAGAAGGTTCCCATTGCAAAGGACAGGGAACCAGGCTTCTCGTCAGAGAAGGAAGGTGCACCATCCAGTGCCGCGGAAAAGCCCGTGCCGCCAAGGTTTCGGTATACTTCCAAGGGTTTTGATCCATTTTGGAAAGGACACAAGTCAAAACCATCTGAGCCTCAGAATGATTTAAAGGGTGATGATCTTGAGGAGTATGCTCCCTCAGAACCACCTGAGAGGCCAGAAGGTGAACTTGTAGAAATTCCTAAAGCATCAAAAGGACCATCAAGTGATAAACATGAACCACTTGAACCAGGTGATGGCGCTCTTGAGCCTAGGCGGATTTCAATCCCATTACCTGGTAGTGAAGTTGTTGCAATGACACCGGCATATAGGAAGATGTTACACAGACTGGAGGACAAGGTAGAGCTTTATAAGCTTCATGTGAAGCACTACCATATGAGTCCCACTCAGTTTCGTAGACGTGTTTCTATGTTGAAGCTTCCTGACTCTGTTTTAGAGAAGTATGAATCAGTTGTCAGGAACTGCCGTGTTTGTAACACTTCAGTGGCACCTCCGCCACGAGCCAGAGTCTCCGGTATTAGAGCTTCATGTTTTGGTGATGTTGTTTTTGCTGATCATTGCGAGGTTGAACTTCACAAGAACAAGTATATCATCTTAATTGTTCTTGATGGTGCCACAAATCTTCTCTGGGCTACGGCACAGAAAGACCTCATAGATCAAACCACCATCCAAGCATTGAGGCAATGGTCTGATGAGAACAACTGTGTTCCAAAGGCCATCGTAGGAGACGAAGCCTTTTTCACAGATGCTTTTGTTGAATACTACAGGTTCCATGGTATACAACAATGTCCTTGTGGGCCAAGAACTCCTTGGCCGAACCGAGCAGAGACAGCTGTACGTTTGTTCAAACGTATGTGGCATGTTATGAAGGTAGATCTGGATGACCCACGTTTTCGTGGTGTTACGGTCAGAGAAGTGGTCAAGAAGGTAGTTTGGGCAAGAAATTGTCAGTTGACTATCAGTGGATATTCACCAATAGAGATAGCAACTGGAAGACGTCCACCAGATCTTTTTGACCTTGAGACCGCAAGCCCTGAGCAATTATCAGCTAATGCCGCCGCACAAGATCGTACAAATTTGGAACTACAACGTGTGGCTTTGAGAGCTCATCAAGAAGCACGACAAGCTCAGGACCTTCGAGCAGATCTTGCAAGAAGGACTATGCCAAGTGACGGTCCCTATTTCCAAGGAGAGAAGGTTTTTGTTTGGACTCAGGATTCATCAAAGTTCAAGGATAAAGGACGTTGGGTTCGTGCCACAGTACTTGGACAAGAAGGAGCTATGGTCCAAGCCAATACTGGTAAGGCAGTGATACGTGTGAATCAGTCAAAGGTTAGACGTGATCACGATGAGTGGCATGATGTTTCCATTCCGGCATTAGACGATGAGAATCCGGAGAACTTGCGTGAAGATCACGAACTGTATGTTGATGCCGAATTCGGAGAACAGTCCTTTTTCTTCTGTAATGATGATCATCCTGATGTTGTTGAGTTACTTCATGGAAACAGTGGATTATCTTGGTTCCTTTCAAAGAATGGTGTTAAAGTTGCATCGCCTATGGATTTCAAGGCAGGATACAACTTTTCCACGTGGAAGGGTCAAGATGCTATTTGGCAGCAACTGGAGAGATTGCAGCCACACTGTATAGTGATCAACAACCCTTCTCCCAAACAGAACAGAGCTTCTATTTGGTTGCTATGTTGTAATGTG